GCCGAGGTAGGCCGCCGGGTAAGTCGTGGAGTCCGAAAGTAACCCGTCAGGTAAGTCGTTTTGGCCGAATGTAAGTCGTAAGTAACATGTTAGGTAAGCCGTTACGTCCGACCCCGATTAGACGAGCTAGCCCGCCGGCGCGCCGCCTTGGGCGGGCGCGGGCGCTGGCCCTTGCCGGCCCCAGTTAACTCCTTTGATGGCGCATGAAACCCTTATCCTTTTATGGATCCTTACTGCAGTCACGTGTGAAGGCAGCATGGTCTTCAGGGACAGCAGAGGCAAATGCTAATCTAGCGCCAGAGCTGCATGCGCTCGTCTGCGCTGTCAGCGATGCATGCAGAGCGCTTTACAAACACACGAGTTCTGACGAAGAGCTCTTACGGCAGGGTGTGATATCCGGCAAGGTGTGGGTTGAAGCACTGTGCGATGCGATGGATGGGGCTCTCTTCTTCGGATTACGCCCACCCGCAGTACCAGCGGCCATTGTTCGGCTCCAGGACGCGCGTTTGCGCGGCTTGCGTGACGATAGCGTGCCTGGACTAGACAAGAATTGCGGTGCACGTTGCGACACGTGGTGCGAATTCGAAACACCGCACTTCCGGTCGGCGCTAGTGAATGCTGTATCCGCTGTCCCATTGTTTGGCGCGCTGCGTCAGTGCCTCGAGGACTCAGACTCTAGCGCGTTCGTTTGCACAGCGCACGGGAGTTGTCGCGCGTGGCTTCGGTATGCCCTACAGCGAGGGGTCTTGCTCGAGGCGCTTCGTGAGCTTTTCGCGTCGCCTAAGATAGATGATGTTTGGTATGGCCGATCGGTTGTTGCGTGACTGTCTGAGTCTTTGATATTGGCCAGCGTATTCATGGCAGCGTCATAGGTCTCAGGCTGCTCGTGTGGCGTTGCTCAATGGCCTTGGACCACTTTCATTGCTCACAGAGCGCTACGGCGCACAGACTGTACCCCTCAGCGATGATCCTAGCCTCGACGCACCTTTCGTCGCATACGACGAACGCAAAGTCTTGCGGCTTGTGCGTCCTCCCGCACCTCGGGCTTTGAAAAAGGCAACTACAGAAGATCCGCCCCCGCCTTCAGCGGTGGAAGTCACGCTCGCGGGTGCATGTCAACTCCGCGAAGCATATAGCGTTCAAACACACCACAGGCTGGGTAAGGCTCACATCACAACTTACGGGACTGACGCAGGCTATGAAATAGTTCATATTCTGTCGCGGTCTTCCTGGTTTGTTACCTTCCCCCCCGCTCCGCTGAGAGTCGTCGCTTGCGTTCCAGTCTTGTATCATGGACGAAACTACACATCTCATTAGGTATTTGAGGAGCCGACACATCATAGGCGCAGCATACTACTGTTGCGTGTCTGATAGGGTGCACCCACCAACAACTGGTTGGCGCCCCTACAGGGCCAGCTTGTTGCCCGCGCCTGTCATTCGTCGGGTCCCCATGACACGGATTACCAGAGATTCTCAAGCCGCACAGCCGCAACTACCTATCAAGACTACGGTCACAGTGACTGAATTTGTCGCAGTAGTCCAAGACATGCCAAATGTAGCTGTTCCAAAATGCCCTCGGCAACGACCTCACTCTATCTGTATCACAACCGTGAATGGGAACACGAGGCTCAAGGTGCGAGCGCTTAACATGGCGTGTGCGACACCGGTTCGAGCCAGGTGGGTATCGCCTGGCTTATTTTACGGGAGCCTATTCAAACAAAGATAGTCGTCGCCATTAGGTGGAAAACTATGTCTAAGAGATCCACTGGCGAGGGGTCGTGCGTGCAGATTTTGCTCTGCAAGGCCCTCGCCAATACGGTCCTTGAGTGCGCTCCTCTGCGTCCGGTCGTTCGCTGCTGAACACATTCGGGAACCGCTAGTGTGGGCCCAGGCACAAAGCTCTCAAGCGCATGTCTCATATATCACTTGCGCTCTCTATTACACAGCAAGCCGAGGTTGGGGCAAGTTGCATGATGCGCGCATGTGCACGTGCGTTGGCAGCCAGCAGCGATGTTGATGTTTCAGGGGCAACAGTGCTAATACCATGGCGTGATGCTGTTCAACTTGCACGATGTGATGATGCTCTTTTCACTGAATTACGACTTGATCAGAGTCCAACGCTCTTCAACTCCACGCTCAAGCCTTCGTTGGCAAATGTGGCGCGTGAGAACTGGAAGCGAGCATGGCGTCGCGCTAGACGCTCCCTTGGTGGCACTACAAACCGGGTAGTTAGTAAAAGAATGGCTTGGCGTGCGAAACGGCAGGGCGACGTCGCACCTGTTTTCGCTCGCTGCCGGGTCTGGCTTTTGCCTGTTCAGTATGAGTTGCAACTTAGGTGTTGAACGAAGCCAAGGCTCTGGGAGTCGAAGTTGAAACCTATCGTTCTCGGAAAATCTTGCGCTACATTCTCCACGTCGCGTTAGAGACTGCTGTCATACTCAGCGTCGCGTAATGGTTTGGGATAGCTCGGATTTGACAGATGATTGGGACGCACTGAAATTTCCGGCAGTCAAAGCTGAATCATTTCAAATCAGGTCACTTTCGAATCATGTGATCACTGTGATGATTGTTTTGGCTCAAGCTATGCAAGTGAGCTCGAGCACGCCTGCCTGCGGCGCCCACGGCGCACTGCAGTCGTCCAAAGCCAGCGTTCAGCACGAAGGTCGAATAGATGACAATGATGCACGCCATTACATGTTTGAGGCGCCTTTGGACGTAAAACTTGCTCTAGGTCCGATGTGGCGAACCAGCACTTGCGCTGCTGCATGCTCGTGTCCGTGCATTTTCTTCGCTTGACGACAGCGATGGTGATCTTGACTTTGCATTCGTTGAGCGGGACAGGCTCCGGGCCGTCGAGGCTGCGGTGCTCGCGCGCTGTGCTGATGCAAACCCGATTGGGAAAGACTCGTCAATCGCGTCCCTTGCTTCACCTGGGGTCAAACTCATGGATGCGTACCTTGCTCGCCTGGCAGATCGTGCGGGCACCCATGTTGCCGTCGGGAGGGCGATTAAGCTCTTTCTTGACGAGGCAGAGAGCTTGACTGACATTGAGCTGCCATTCTTTGACATGGCGGGTAATATCACCAATACTCTAAAAGATGACGGAGGTGCACGTGTATCCGTGTCATGTGAACGCATTCTTGATTGTCGTTTCCTAACTCAGCACGTGGCGCCAGCTATGGGATTTAGGCTGCTGCAACCTCTGTTACACTGGGTCTCTGGCAACCCCTTCGGGTGGCGTCTACCACTGCAGCAGAGCCACCATTATTTGCCACACTGGCAGTACTGCGCAGACATGCTCATGCAGGCAAAGGTGTTCGCACTCAAACCCTGCGTCGGTCTTTGCCTCAGTCTCAACCAAATCCAAGCTCCCGAGGTATGAGCTCTGAGGCCCACTCAAGGGACTCTCTTCTCGATCGCACTGTTGGTGTCAGTGACGAAATTAGCCAAGGCACTCGGTTGCCCCTTTCATTTGCAAAAGACGAATATACACTGCTCGTGTCCCAGAAATATAGGTGTATCTGTTGTGGTGAACCAATTGGAAGCTCCATGATCTCCAAAAATTACGCACCCTGCAGACTCCTCGATGCCCTCTGCTGCAAGAGGCGCTGTCACAACGATACAAAACGCAAGATTCCGTGGTATGCGAACCGTGCCAGTCTCGACCACATGACTGCACCAGTACATTATAGGCGTGTCATTCTTGCAAACGATGACCGGCCTTACCGCGTCTCGAAGGCTGCAGCAAGTTTCCTCGATGATCGGAAATCAGAGCCCATCATACGACTCCCACCGGATGCGTCTATCTTCGAGCTCGAACCTAGAATGGATGCCGCGAAGCGTCTCCGCCGTCGTCTTGGAGAGCTTGCCCGCAATGCCATGAAGGATGGACCAGGCGCAATCAACGCGACCGATGCAATTCTTCAGCGATTGCCAGAGCATTCAGTACACTTGGCTCTCAAAGATTGCGAGTTTTGGTCACTTGATGATATTTTGCGAGCGAAAGACGGCAGTCTCATTACGCTGCTCTCAGACACGATCGCAGTCGCTGCCTCGGCCTTTGCGCGTGTAGATACTTAGCGTGGGTGCATAAGCAAAACTAAGCCTTGACGGAATAAACTTCACAGTCTATGATGGACTTTGGGACATTGATGGCTCGGGGCGCACAGCTAATATTGAAGGAGATGCAGACCTTTAAGCGAATGGCTCGCATCGTTTATAGTATCTACGTTGGGCAATTATAATCACTACGGCTCATTTCCTATATAGCCACTACTTCACGCCGGCCGCGCTGCTCGACGGCGGCGGGACCGCGCACGCCTCGAAGGGCTGCCGCGACGTGCCCGTCATGGCACAAAACACGCACTTCTACATCCCCGCAGACAACCACATGGACAGCAGCAATGGGCCCGTCGCCAGGCGCCGTGTCGTCCATGTCGCCGACGACCTGATCAAGGGGCACATTGCCACATGCTTAGCGAACTAATCCTTACAAAACTTGGCTAGGTACCGCGTGCACGTCCGAGACCCACGGCGCCAGCCTCTGCGGCGTGGGCTACGCCGAGCCCAAGCAGACCTTCCCCGGCGACATCATCTGCCGTACCTACGCCTCCGCCGCAGACCTGGCGCGCGCTGTCCAGTCCCGCGCGCCTCGCGCGGGCCTCGACTTAAAACACCGACGCATGTGCCATCTACGGACGCACTCGCCGGTGGGGGAGAGCCGGGGGAGACGCCGTCCCCCCCGGGCCGACGGCAGGCCTTTCAGACCACGCCCTGGCCCCGCTTGACCTCCCCCTCCGCTCAGTCTAATCAACTGTGCTTAAACAGTTCATGAGTCAACTGATAGACCTCTATGATAGACCATTGATCGATTGGACTCTCTGAGTAGTCATGAACAGTGATTATGGTGGGCGCCAAAACACCCCCTGGCGACCCTCCCGCTGGACCCCGGCGCATCAGGGGTCCGTCCAACATGTCCTCTGGAGGACCAAAGCTGAAAAGCAGCCATCCATGCCGAAACTCGGCTGTGGACGGGCTGCCAAGCACGACGCGCGCCGCGGCTCAAACCTGGTCAACGACCCGAGAAACGCGCATTGGGGACACCCGCGACCGCTTCGAGACCCTCTCAGACACCCCTCGAGTGCATCAGCCGCGTAGATCGTCCTCTGGGCCCGGCGCTGACCACGACGACCACTCGGAGCGCTCGACGCGCACCGCCGGGGCTGCCACGCGCGCGCGCGTGATGATGGACATAAAAACTGGGCCGCGCCGGTGCGATCCCATCGCAACAAGGTCCCTGTGCGATCGCACCAGCGCGGCCCAGTTTCTGTTGCACCAGGACCGACATATCGCCCCTCGACGCGTCGAAATGGCCCGGATCCAGAGGCCCCGTTCGCCCCGAAATCGTGCTCGTTTCTCGAGATCGAGAGCGGCGCGTCGAAGACCGCCCACCGGCGCGGCGCGGGCTCGAAGGCCGCCGGGGCGCCCGGCGGACCGAGCCGCCGAACGCGGGCGTCAAAGTCGGGCGCTGCCCATCGGATCGGCTTCCCAGTGCACTGGAGCCCCTGGGGAACTTTAGATGGATACTTGCTGCCCCCCTCGTTGCGTTGGACTGTTGCAACAGCAAGCTTGTTGAAAACTGCCCGATGAGCAATCAACTCCTTCCCCGACAACACGGGACTCGCCGACGATACTACACTCCAGAGGAGGTGGCGGCACATAATTCTGCAACCGATGCTTGGGTTACGGTGTTTTTCAAAGTATTCAATCTGACTGACCTGATCACCACCAATCGAGATACGATGACGCAAGCATTGATTTGTAACGCGGGGCGAGATGTCTCTCATTGGTTTGATGGCAAGACAATGGAAGTAAAATCATATTACAGTGAGGATTTCGGAATCGTCCGCCCATATGTGCCTATGGGTCGCTTTCTACATGTCCAGCTTGCGGGGTCCAGCTTGTAGATGAAACATTAGTAATTTGTTCTTTCGTAGGTGTCTCCATCAGGACCAGCATCAAATTGGTCGACTGAGCTTCCTCAAGATCTGCCCTGGTATCGAGAGCATAGTTTCAGTGTTAAATTTGACGATACAACCTAGGTGGAAGGACAAGCAGTATATCATTGGGAACATGTCGCAACGAGTCCGCAAACTAAGAATCGTTAACGTGCTAACACAACAGTCTGACATCCTAAGTGTTTGCAGTGAAGAAACGATGGAAGAAATTCAAGCACGGTATTGAATCATCTTCGGAGACATTGTCCAAAGCTATCCCGTTGTAGACGAAATACCAGAACCCGCAGGTACATGGAATACAACGCGCATGCCACCTGTTACACGTGGAAACAGCTAAAAGATGAAAATTTTGTCAAGATCGATATGCAGAAAACACTAGATCAAATAGGCATGCCCGATGAAAGTGGACTGTTCGAAAGCATGGGCATCGACGAAGACCAATACATGCCAATAGTACATGTGTACTTTAATGATGACTTGACATACAATTGAATGGCTGAAATTGTGGGGCATGGCCGCTGGTTTCCGACCTGCCCGTGCGCAGATTTGGCCTGCTTCCTCTTCTTGTGTTGCGAGGCGAGCCAGAGTATTCGTAGGGGAGGTTCATTCAGGGTGGATGTTGCAAGCAGAGTAGGATGTAGCCCCCAGGCTCAGCGAGATAGCAAACTAAGGGCGGTCTAGGAGATGTCGCAGGAAGGTCAGCACTGCGGCAAAGTCACTCCACACCGTGGACCTATTAGGCTGCCTCCCCGTGTCGGAGTCTACTATCTCGTTAAGTTCAGTCCCAAGGTCCCCACTTTAGTATGGGGCTCCTTTCTCCTTTCCCCAATTTCCTTCTCTTTCCCTCTTTCCATTCCACATTGACAGTATAGAGTGACCCTCTCCTGTTGGGAATC